ATAAAAGACTTTAATAAAAAAATAAAATAAATAAAATTTTAAAAAAAAGAAAAGAATAAATGGCTAAAGGAACCAAAACTGTTTAATTGTACAAAGAGGTCAGAATTTTTAAGATGACATATATGAACATTCTTACAAGGACTGGGGACAAAAGTGTCATACTCCTAAAAAAGTAATCCTAAATTAAGGGAAGATAGCCCACAGAAAGGCCTTAGGGCCTGTTGTAAATACACCATACTGAATCTCCTACATGTTAATGGGAACAGAGAAACTATCCAGAGTCAACAGGTAGTAAACCTCTATACCAATATACTCTACTAATCTCAGAGGATGAAAACAGGGAAAGGTGAAACAATGTTCACCTGTATCAACAAATGTTCACAGTGCTGAACTTAAAGTTCCACTCCTTCAGTCTAATTAAGTGTCCATAAAAAAAGCTGGTGATCAAAAGGCAAATAAAATAAGGTCAGAGCTAGGCGGAGCCCTGGGATAAGTGAGGAAAGTGATTGCCAGGAAGTGGTTTCACTCCAGTGAGCAGCACCTGTGCTCCTCTAGAGACCAGAATGGGCTAAAGAATGGAGATTCAGGCTAGGAAAGTGCAGACGAGCTGTAACGAAAACACCACTTAGATCTTGCAAAGGGTTTGTAAACAAAGGGAGCACTTCTGTTACCATCATTATTCTCTGAGTCTTTGTCATTAACTTTCCCAACATCTAGGTTTAGAGTATATCTTCTGCAGCTCACAGTTCAGTAAGTTACTGTGAACACAAATACTGATCTTGCGAAGGATGACACAAAACATATCAGAGAGCAGTGGACCTGTCTCTGTTAGTTGCTCCTTGGATGGGAAGACACATTCTATCTCAAAGGTCGGAGATTTATTTCAGCGTAAAACAAGATAAAGTGAATATTTTGAACTAAAGTGGGCTTACACTTAAAATCAGATATTAGTAAGAATTAACAACTAGAAAACAGTAAAAAAAAAAGGTAGTAAATTATCTACAGACTTTAAAAATATGCTCAAAGGTGTAACTCTTAAAGACATTAACATGATAATGTTTAGATTCAAAATTTCAACACTAGAGGCTGGGAATACAGCTGATGGTAGAGTTCTTGCCTAGTATGCAGAAGACCCTAGGTTCAAGTCTCAGAACTCCAAAGATCAAAACAAGACCAACTTCAACTCTAAGGATTTGGAGACTGATGACAACCCCAAAATCCCCCCAAACTTCGCAAAGTAATATACAGACAAAATATTTTCCTTTTGCTACATGCCTTCACTCTCTTCCAAATGTCAGTGGTTCTTGACAGGGAGAGATTTTTGCCTCATACAGGACATTTGGCAACATCTGGTTTTTTGGAGGGAGGCCTTGTCACAACAACTAATGCTCCTGGTGTGTAATGGGTAGAAGCCGGAAAAGTTGCCAAACATCCCAGCATGGCACAAAGCAGACCCCGACCACAATGTATTATCCAGCCCTAAATGTCAACAGTACCAAGGGTGAGAGATCCTGCTCTGAATGTACTCCACACATTTGAAAATGTAACTGAGTTTTAGTCACCTCAACACAAAGCCAACTCTAATAAGGAAAACTATAATATCTCTAAGAATGACAGGAAATTTACCTGTAACATGCACTGAGACACCACGCCCTCTGGAATTTCAGGGAAACGTTGTCGGAGATCATGGAGAACCTGAATATCAAGCTGTGGACTGCTCTGCGCCATGCCAGAGCAAATGGTGGTCAAGTTTCTCTTAGAAAATGGATGTTAACTGGACTTCCAAAAGTAATGCTCTTCCAATACCACAGTCATTTCTACCTAAAAAGAAACTATGGTTAAACCTAATTACATATTTTACTTTATTCAAGCAGAAATTATCAATATATTAAAATCACAAAACTTAAAAAAGTATACCGAATTACAAGGTTAAATTGACAAATTCAACTTGGCCAAAGATTCTTCTGATATAATGTACCAATCAGTGGCTTCAAAATAAAGCCCAAAAAAACCCTCAAAACAAAACCAAAACTTTTCAGTTTCATTCCAATGCCAGAAAAAAATTAGCAGATTAAAAGTATAGCGTATTATTGAGCAACCATACTTTTCTAGCCTTGAGAAATCCTATTTATCCATAATCCCTCATGTTTTGCCTAGGACAGTGGTAGCAAACCTATGGCATGTGTGCTGCAGCAGGCACACAGAGCCCTCTGTCGGCAGCCAAGCCAAGTCACTGCAGCAGCCGAGCATTGGAAAACAGTTGTCTTTTCTAAATTAAAACCTCAGTATTCAGGTTTCATTGGAGTGTTGACACTTGGCAATAAAAAAGTGGGTTTGGGGTTGCAGCTTGGGGACTCAAGTGTCCAAAAGGTTGGCCATCACTGCCCTGGGGCGATCACATCACTCCTGCAAAGCACAATAATCATTCTGATGTAAGGAACAAAGAAATAAGGACTTGACAGTAACACCACAAAGAACACTTGTCCTGTTGGCTTTACATTCTCCCTGTACTTTAAAGCCAAAAGGTTTGAATTTAAAGTCTAAGGAAACCAACAAAAATGTAACGATTTTAGTTTTTAAAAATGCTCCTCGGATGCATGATTAGCCAGACTTGCCTAGTTAAGCCTTCACCTAATTCTGGTGCCAGTGGCACAAGCACTAAGATGACAGGAATTGGGGGTACAATTTGAGTAGATAATACTGACCCTCAGTCTCCCTGGCACTACTAAAGCACCTATTTAAATAGGTAACTCCTAAAAGAAAAATGCATCATAAATCAAGTGCCAGCATCAAGGGTCAATGAATCAATCCATTTCTTAATCTGTATTTCTATTTTTAAAGTAGAAAAATATAGTATATACCGTGCAATCTCATAATATTCCTGTGTTCATTCAGTAGATGGTGAAATATTTAAAAAACTTCAAAGTAAGCATCTGCACCTTCATAGGACACATGGAAACCATACCTATATGATACATGTCTAAACCATACAGAAGACAGGCTCACTCCATACCAAATCTTCGATTTCTTGCAAACAGGTTAAAAAACTTTAATTCATGTCGTTACTTGTTGCAACTTGGAGAACTACACAATATTCTAAAAGTAAAATCTGTTTAAGGAAAATATTGAATTTTCTGGTTTATATTTTAGTTGATAATTAACTGCTTAACATCTGACACTACTGATCACTCTTTCCTTTTGGCAATGTCACTTTTTTTTTTTAGCCTCTGACATCACACTAGCCTGTGATGAGCTTTTTAGTCACTTCTTTAGTCATTTTAATGTTGGCTTTGCCCTAGTATTTGTCCTAAAATTATTCTTCATCTATTCTACATCCTTCTGCCCAGGATCACAATAGCATTTACAGACTAATAATTCCAAAATTGACATCTAAGCATTGTGTTCTCAGATTCCAGACACACAGAGCCAATTGTCTAATGCACAGGACCATCTGGATATGTTCAAAGATACAAGTCAGTATGTCCCAAAAGGAATTCATCTTACAATCCTTCCTCAAATGTTTTCTGTTCCGTTTGTGAGTGTTATGATTATTCACTTAGTTAACAAAATTAGAAACTAAGGTGTCATGCTCGACTTTTAAGTCTCATAAAACCAACTAAACTGAAATCAAGTAGACCATAGTGTGCACCCTGGTTCAGCCATTTATTAGTACTGAAGAAAGATATCCAATCCTTATACCCCAGAAGCTTCAGCTGAAAGATGGAAGCATAAGGTTATAACAAAATTTAAATGGCAAACTAAATCAGGAAGCATTTATTACTATTATTTGGGACACATCTGAATAGTGTTCTCAGAACATAACATCAACTTCCTACTATTCTTCCTACCTTTGTCTGGTCTTAGCCTTTGTCTACACCATGGCCTGAATGCTTTTAAGATGCAAATCTGAGCATATTCTCCTTCACTCTATAATCCAACCAAACTGAACCATGAATGGCCCTGTGCATAGCTGTCCTGTGCTGTTTTCTCTCAGGGCATTAGCCCATGATTGTACATCTGCCAGAGATACTTTCTTTCCTTCCTCCCCACCAAGTCCTACTGATCCTGTATGTGTCAGTAGTGGTGGCAACACCTCTGAGGAAGCTCCCACTTACATCCCCCTGTGCACTATGCTGCCTCCACAGGCTACGCTTAGTCTCACAAGAGCACTGAACATACCAAACTGAAACAACCTGCATACTCAAAGATCTCTCACAAAAAACTCCAGCTTCCTGCAGAATGTGTTATGTCAGAGTGAAGAAGTACTCAAAAAGTAATGGGAGCATGTAATAAGGACCAAAAGTCAGCTTGAAGAGGCTCCCAATGGCCAAACCTATGACATTTGAACACTAAAATAATAAAGACAACAATGAACTATAAGCTTATAGCAAAGAAGAATCCATAAGTCCATACCAATCATACACACCTGCATAAATGGAGAAGGGCAGGTCCTTGCCTACAGAAAAATCCAAACAGTAAACAGGCAGGGAGTGTTACATCTGGAAAAATAATTTTGTAGCTGTCACAGTATAGACCGCTTCAAGCAAGTCTCATCAATGGATGCTAAACTGAGGGGAAATTCAGATTAAGAGTATAGGATATATGCATGGTCTTACAAGTATCTCTCTCAAGCTTATTAGTTGCAAGGGAAAAAACTATATAGTCTAGTGGATTAACTGAACAACATCTGGCCTGGGTGATCAAAATGAACATCAATGAAAGCTATACGGACAGCATTCACCTTCAGGTGTGATACCAAGAGGAGGACACACTGCTTTATAGTATTCCAGTCAGGAAAATATAAAAAACTACTCAAAGAAACAGACACAGCTAAAATGAGAAATAATTCTATTTTTACAAGATGGGGAGGAAAATATAAAAAATGTCAATGTCATAAAACACAAAGGCTAGAAAAACTTCTCACATTAAAAGTGCCATGATAACTACATTTAACACCCGATGCGAGATTAGATCCTATACAAATGGGGGAATGTTATAAAAGAAATTGACTGGAGAAGAGCCGCCTCCAGCGCTGAGGAGATGAGCTTTCCAGGCAGCTGGACCACTGCCCCCAGCACCTAGGAGGAGCCTTCCGGGCAGTCATATCACTGACCCCAGTGCCGAAGAGCAGAGCCGCCCCCAGCACCGAGGATGTGAGCTGCACAGGCGCCAGCAGGACACAACCACCCCTGAAATGAGAAGACATGTAAACAAGTCTCAAAACTAGATTCCCAGATCACCTAAAGCAACCCCAAAGGGAAACCAGATGAAACAATCTGATACTCAATCACTTAGACCCACTGAACTGGCAACAAAAGGGGATCTGGAAAAAATGAAATCAGAAATAATCTCTCAGATAACAGCAGAGATTGTGCCCATAGTGAAAGACATGATTAATAAATCTAGAGAAGATAAAAAAGTAGAGGAGCTGAGGAATATGATGGAATCCCAACATAGGAAACAAGTGAAATCCATAAAACAGATGCAAGTAGATTTCCAGGAGATGAAAAACTCCATTGAAAGTCTATACAGCAGAATGAGCCAATGTGAGGACAGAATTTCAGATACAGAAGAAAAGATTGCAATTAGTGACCAGGAAAAGAAAAATTGCTTTAAAATTGTAAGGGACCATGAGAAAGCAATCCAGCAGCTGCTGGGAAATGCAAAGAAGAATAACATAAGACTGATTGGAGTCAATGAAGAAACAGGAGAGAGTGCAGATGACATAGAAAAACTGTTCACAGAAGTGATGGCAGAAAACTTCACAAGCAGGGGAAAAGTACTTGACATACAGATAAGTGAAGCACATAGGACTCCAACTAGCCTTGATCAAAAAAAAATCTACACATAGGCATATAATAGTTATGATTCCAGAAACCCAACA